CTGAAGAAAGTGGCAAATGTTGATTTTTCTGCCTTCACCTAGAATGGTTAAGGGTTGGGAGGCTCTGGGCAACAGACCCCAGTGTCAAACTCTTAATTGAAGAAAAACACCACTACCTATGTGTAGAGGTGGATCTGTACCTACAGAGATACAACTTCTAGTACACTGACAAAGTTTTAATAGAGAAAAACACATTTTCAATTATCAAAATCTTTACAGAACATATCTAAAACCAGAATTAAAGCACACAGACACCCAGTAGCAAGAGCACCTCAATCGCAGGGGAGAGAATTGGTGTGAAAGATGGAGCACTTGCTCCGGGTTCCCAAGTGCAGGCAACTGCCCTTCTATAAGAATGGTGAAGACCAAGGAATACCCTTCCTTCTCCCAGTGGCTCAGGTCCCATGAGGGGGTTCCCGGCCAATCATTTGGATGGGCATTTGGCCCCAAGTCTGGGTCTTCCCTATGGTAAATCCCAGATAGTTCCAATGATTCTTCACCACCCTTTCCACATTCATCTGTCTTAGGCTAGTAAAGTGCAATACATCATGTATCTTAACCTTTCCCCCCTCTGCCCCTTTGTAAAGTCTATGCATCAGGACCAACAGAGGCAGAGATCTCTTAGTTATCTAATCAATCCAGGTGTCTTGTTCATTCTGAGAGAGTTTCCAAAGTGTAACTGCAGCCTCTCTCATAAGTACATGGCATCAGATATAACCTGGAACCAAATACAAAGGTGCAGAGAAAGGTAAAGCTATCAGAACACATTACATCTCTATATATAATTCAAATTTGAAACATGGATACAAATACTCATTTACAGTATATTTCAACCTTCTGCCTTAAACTGCAGAGAACTTTTTGTGCTGTCCAAACTGGGCAGAAATGAGGGTTTCTGCCTGCTGTCCTTCTAGTGCAAAATCTAGTCTTTTAAATGCTCCCCTTCTCATCAAGGGCTTCACATTTTCAGATAAGCTAACGTGGGCACTAACAAACACGGTGGCCAAGACCAGCTCCATTTCCAACCATGCAATGATGGAGCTTCAAGAATTTGCTCAGTAACTATGAGAGAAAAGCAAAGCTAGTTCTGCTTATAAAATCACGTAGTGAAGGACCCTATAATCCCATTTTTCCAAATTATCTTCAACTCTTCTAAATATGTAAATTGTGAGGGGAAACAGCCCCCACTGCAAAACTCTTATAAGTCAGTCACCAGCAAAATCCTTTAGTCTGTCTTTGGATAGTTTACCAAATTGGCACTAATACTTGTCCCCTCCCTGCCTTTAAAAATTTTTGTGTCTTAGCAGATACAATGTAATCTTTGGTTACATAATATGATGCTTTCATATTATGCCTTAAAAAACTGCTTTCAAAATTTTCAACGATATCAGTGGAGAGAACAGTTCTGCCTATAAAGGCAGTAGGGGTAGAAACTTTCTTTTCAAAGAAATTTCACAATCGAAATGGTTTCTCTTAACTTTAAGTTTGGGATTTTATCTGGTGCTTTAGCATTCCTATTTCTCAAAATCCCCTACAGTGGGTCAAGCATGAAGACTAGGCCCTTGGCCCAGTGCCCGCTCACCTGGGCAACTGGCACAGGATAATCAGTAGATAGCCTCTTGTTTAATCAGGGCTATGCTGGGGTCATGCAGGGATAGTTACTAGGCTGTCTGGAGACAGTCTCCTGAAATGCAGTGCTGGCATAGGGCTGGCAACAGGCAGAGGGGTGTGGCTTGGGCCTTTGTGCCCTGCCAACTATCAAGGTCGAGAAGGGGGCAAGGCCACATCTGTGCTGTGCCTAATGAAACAAACACTTAGAAGCTACTTGAAGCTCAAAGTCAGGTCATTTGTGTAGTGTCAGTATCATGTGGATGGTGGACATATTTTCTTTTAAAGTACAAGTTGAATACATCTTGTTATATATGTCTATGTGTATTTAGAAGTAGAGTATGGACAGACAGGGACTCGAGCATCAGCACAATATTTTTCAACCTGGACAATTAACCTCAGCAACTACCCAAAGGACAGTGTGAAGCTCTTTTTTTTTCTTTTTTTCTTTTTTTTTAAGTGCCAGTGAACATACATAAAAATATACATATTACTGATTTTTTGTTTTTCAAAGATATATGACAGAATCCTTCAAAAAATCCCTTTCTCAAAGTAATTTAAAAAAATAATGAACTTTCCAAGAACAACAATATTGCCTGTGGCATAGAAAATCTATGGAACAAAGAATCCAACCCCCATGTCAGCTCCGACCCAGTGAGCTGCTCAGTGAATGAGGCTGAAACTGCCATACAACTCTTTCCTTGGACCATAGAGTTTGTGACCTTGGCAGCTGTCTGCTGCCCAGCATAGATGGGGCCTTCTCCACGGGGCTCTTTTTTCTCTTTCTCACTCTCCATCCCCACTAAACTTCTTTGGAGATGATCATCTTGACTTGTCCCATGAGTGATCTTCATCTTCTAGCTCCCCAGGTGAGTGGGTCTGGGTAGCCAGTCCTTCACAGGTGAGCAGTGTACCAACCATATCAGCTCTGTAGAGCAGAGTGCTCACAAAATGAGACTTCTGTTATTCACACTGGCTGGAACATCAATGGCCACAGGAAAAAAAATCCTCCTATTTTTATCTGTGGGAGAAAGAAGCCAAGCTGAAACTCCCTTCGTTTACCCAAACCCCAGTGCAGAAACACTAGGTGTAAAGCCTTGTTTAGGCTCTTTTTCCCTAGTTTTGCCATTTGGAAATTTGGAGTAACCCACTTGCTGTTGTTTTTAATTGCACTGCTGTTTCACTGATTTTTGGCTTTTGCAAATGAAAAAACACATACATTCATAAAGACAAGAGTCACAATTGGGAAATCCATAAAGATAAAAATTTGATAAAGAAATGAAAAGGAGAATCTCTAATATTTACAAAGAAGCATTAGAATGATATAATCGAATCTGTGTACCACAAAAGATGAAAATCACTTCAAAACAGATGTAAAGAAACTATTAAAATGTAACCAACTTTAACTGAAAAGAGTGATGGATTTTTTTTTCTGTTGAAGACAGTTAAAAGTGATCCTGTATATAAGCCAGATGGTGTCATTACACAGAAAACCAGAATCTGTCTGTCCTACCCCAGAAAGAGAATCCGTCAGAGTGTTTTTGTCCAGCAGGCTTGGATTGGCATATCACCCATCTGAGATTCTCCCTCCCTTGTTATTTAAAGAGCTGTTTTGCAAGTTTGTTTAGCTATTAATATCAACACAGAAATCAGGGAAGGAAACTCATGTGGATCATATCACGTCACTCAGGAACTATCTTCTCAACAAACTGAGTTTACCAACTGAAAAGGGCAGCTTGGTGACTGGCCCTTGATTTCTTGAGTTCAACAGATAAAGAACTTAGTGAGGAGGCAGTGGCCAAGATGTGAGAGTAGGTGGACATCCCCCCTGAACTCAGGGTTGGGGAACAAAGTCCACGGAAAAGAGGTGTGCCAAAGGACTATAAGAAACCTGTGACCCAGGGGCATGCCCTGAGTTAATGGGTGGCAGCCTACTGCAGCCACACCAGTCAGACCTTTCCAAAAGAGGCTGTATTGAAATTCTCAGTGGTTCTGCACTCCCCTGACTGAGAGGGAGCAACAACTGTGGGAGATCTGAGTGAGTATGCACAATGTCAGCCCAGAATCAGCAACAGAGGATGATGAGTGCCCTGGTGCTCATCTGGCTTTAGGCTTTGCCTCTGAAGACTTCAGTAGTGAGAGTCTCCTCTTAGGGCCTTTTCTCTTCTTCTCATGATTTCTGCAGGTGGATACGCTGGGTGGCAAGGAGAGTATTTCAGTGTTTCTGCTTCTAGTGCCTTCATTCTTCCCACCCTGGTTACTGAGTATCTTTTTCACCTTGATCTGAGTAGCCCCTTTAGCTGCTTTGAAGGAAGAAAGTGGGCATTTCTCCACTTGGTGGGAGGGTATCATCTCTGGGGGACAAGGGCAAGACGCCTAGTTTGTCCAATCCCTTTGATGCCTTCTTTCCAGTTTTTGTAAGGGCTCCAGCGATCTGACTGTTGGTGAGAAACATTGAATAAGATGTCTTTCAGACTGTGGGCATCTAGAGATACATGTCAGGATTGCTGGCCTGCTAACCTTCATGGAAGTGTGTGTGTGTGTGTAGTTTAGAAGAATCTATGAATGTGTTCAAAGAAGTGAACAAGATTTCCCATCATGGCTAAAATGCATTGTTGTGAGGTTCAGGCCCACCAAACAGAGGAGGGAAGATGGAGGGAGCTTGTGGCTGCATGGAGTCTGCAGGTCTTTTAAAGGTGGAGGAAAAGGTGCTGGAAGTGAGGGGTCAACTATTCAGTGCCCTAAGCAGGAGAATAGCCAAACCATCACTTCCTTTTCCTCTGACTCCAGCTACAAGCTCCTCCTTGGCTGACACATGGAAAAGCAGACCTAGATCTGAATGGAGCCTTCTAAAAGGTCAGATTTCTCCTTTCGTTCTTCTCACTGATCTGACTCTTCAGTAGGAGTGGCCAAGTTTTGGCTAAAGAGAATATTTAGCTCAAAGTTCTTAGAAAAGCTATTGAAAGTCAATTTGAGAGTAGAGGCAAAGGCTGAACGACTAAAGGGTTTGAAGGGGGTGGCGTTCACATGCACACAAGTTGTCAAAAAAGAAGCACATTTTAGTACAATGAATTGCACTGCAGTTGAGCAGTCTTGCCCTCAGGCACCAAGGCTGTGGGCAGGTACAGGTAATCTGTCTCCCCTACTTGTCCTCTATTCTGTTTACCCCATTCCCAATAAGCTCTGGGGTCATCCTGCCTTCTAATGGCAATAGCCATTGGCAAAAATTAGTCTCCCAGGAAGGGAGGGGATGACTAAAAACAGTGACTACTCATGGACCTGCAATTTTCACTTTCTTCTAGTCACTGTTGGCTTCTTTGGGGATTTCTATTTGTTTGTTTGTTTGTTTCCTTATTGAGGAAACAAGCCCAGCAAGCTTTTTTTCCCTTTTCTTTTTTTTTTTTTTGGTGTTTGTTTTTTACCCCAGATACTTTTAGCTCTCTAGACTTCCCGTGGCATAAGTTAAGTAAACGTTTGTGTGGCTGGCACACAGTGCAGTGCTGTAAACAAGCACAACTTGACACTGGGCCACATAAGGCTCATCATCATCAAAGAAATACTACACCATCAAAACACAGATAGGAGTCACAACAGGGAGAAGAATCTGAAGGTGCCATGGGAGGGTAAAATAGAGAGGGAGGAAGAAAAATAGAGGAGGAAAAGAGAAAAAAGCCCATCAAATAGAACTCAGGAATATGTTCTTGACAGACTGTACATCAATAGAGGAAATTCCCCAAGGCACTGCAGAGAAGTAGTGCAGTTAGAACAAGCAGAAGACATCTGAAAAGGAGTGTGGGATGGGCTAGGGAAATGAGAGCATCCAAAGCTTCACTGTGTGTGGAAATAGATGGGCTTGACTTTTCCAGAAAGGATCTTGGGCACTTGCACAGAGATGATCTCTGCCATCATTTCTGGAAAGTCCACGCTAACCATATGGGACTTGATTAGCAGGTCAAAGGTGAACTGATGCAGCTCTCTTGCAATCTGCAGGAGACAAATAAGAGAGAGAAGAAACACAGTTGACAAAGAGTTGCCTTCTGCTGGACTCTCCCCCCGCCCTCTGATTTCCAATCTTTTTAACATATTGTCCCCTTGTCTGTCCTTGTTCCTGCTCCATGAGGTTGTGTGTTCAAGTGCATGTGTGTATGAAAGAGAGAAAAATAATCTCCAGGGAGTTACTGGGCTTGCAAGAGATCTCTTACACCATTGAAAGTTCTTTAACTCAGGACTGGGTACTCCTCCCTCCCCGGTATACAATTTCTCTCTCAGCCTTTCTCTCTGTCTCTCTCTCTGTCTCTGTCTCTGTCTCTGTCTCTCTCTCTCTCTCCCTCCCTTCTTCTCTCTCTTTCTTTCCCATTCTCTTTCTCTCTCCTTCCTCCTCTCTCCTCTACATACACATACAGAGGCAAACTCACATGCACACAACTCCAGCAAAAATATCCAGGTCTGTTTTGTCTGCCTGGAGAATTCATCTGCTTTAAGCTTCATCCCTGAGTCCTAACTTTTCTGCTCTCAACTCCTCTACTCCTTTCACAACATCGAACTGGGACATTGTGACCTGTGTTCCTTTCTTCTCTGTTGCATTTTCTTCCTGAACCATACTCAAAGCCAAATGCAAATGGAAGCACCTCCTAAGTGGTGCTCAATCCTAGAGGAGACTATTATCCCTTGGTTCTATCAGGCTGCTATCCTTGATAAAGCACCCTCCATCATTTGCTTACAGGCTGCACAGAATCCAGGAGCTTGGTGAGCTGGTAGAAGCGC